ACACTGTGGGAAATGAAAGAGGAAACAAAGCCTGTTTGTGAGCAGAACGAACTTATTGTTGTAATATATGTCACGAGAACTCAGTCACAAAAAGAAAAAAGAAGCATAAACCAAACCAAAATCCCACCAAGAGATGCTCAGGGTGATCTGTAATATTTATAAATATCAAAAGAGATTTTTCTTGGGAGAAGCACTAGGTAGTAGACTACACAGAAAACTGGGACAATGAAGAAAGTCCCCACACAAAGGCAGCTGTGGCTTTGGGGCACAGCATTAGGTTGCAAAACCAATATGGTGTGGGTAAAAAGCAAGCAAGAATTCCCTAGGATTCCATTTTTGCTGTGTCATGGGTGTTGTTGTGACTTAAAAACTGTTTTCTCTTCTTGGATAAGAGCACATTTCGTAACTCCAGTCCTCCTCTCACAGCACTGGAACAAACAAACAAACAAACAATAAACAAGCAACAGGCCAGGAAAGACTGTCCTCTTTTGGCCTTTCACCACCTTGTGAAGTGACCCCAGCTGCTGCGAGCTTGGTTCACCGCCAGTGCACCAAGGAGTTGCAGCTCTGTTGTGGCCTGCCCTGCCCTCATACTTTCTGATGAGGAACCTCAGATGCTGGCACAGACCTGGGCTGAGAAATGAGAAGAGCTCCCGATTTCTAGATGTCAAGAGCTTCCTGACTTGAACATGGTGAGTTGACTCAGAGAAAACCAGTGTACTGCTACCCTGCTACCAGCACCTCCCTCTGTCCTCCTACCTGGCAGGGGTCCTTCACTCTAGCTGTGCCTGGATGATGGTGAGTGGCACTGATACAGACCCACAGGGCAGTCTGCTTTCCTGGTTTATACCTAATCACACCTACCTGGGTGGCATTGGTTTGCCCCTTAGTTCTAAAGTTCAAAAATTAATCTGTGCCTTCAAAAATAATCCCTGGAGAATAGGGATAACATGAAACTATTGAAATGTCCTCTCAACTTTCCCCCACCCCTTCTTTCTTCCCTGTTTCTCTTCAGGGGTGAGATGATAGTATCGTAGTGGCAAAGCACATGGGCTCTGGTTTCACTCCATGAGTTGCGTGATCTTTGACAATTTAACCTCTTCAAGTCTCAGTTTCCTTATTTTTAAAATGAAAGTAAACATAACAGTACTATTTCATAGAGTTGTTGCAAGTGCATATAATGAGACTTGTCAAAGGCACTGCTTGGCCCCTAGGCAGCACTTTGCAGCTATGAGCCATTACCAGGACCACAAGAGGTCCTCTATTGGAGTAGAAACCCACTCATGTGTTTTGCAGTTGGTAGATGTTGGTCACTATATGACTTAAATGGATTTATTTTAACACAAGTGAACAAAGCAAGGTTGGAAGCATTAAACAATGTGGAAAGAAGCCTGTCCTGAAAGTTCAGTGGTTAGTTTCCCATGCTCTGAATGCAGTTTAGGCAAGGCCCAGGTGCAGAAACAGTACTTTGAGCAAAGTAGTATAGAGACAGCCTTTCATCTACTAGCAAGGGTGGGGCTGGGGTCCAATTTGCTGAATTTACAAAGTTTGTACCTTTTTAAGCTTATTCCTCAAAATGTGGTCCATGGACACCTGCACTGGGGAAAACTCAGGGAATCTGCTACAGTGCTGATTGACTCCAACTGTCAGAGAGTGGAGATTCACTTGCATCTACACGTTGGGAATTACTGAATACGCTAAATCACCAGGCCAGTGGATCAACAGAAATTATGATTATCTGGGTCCTATTATATATGAAAACATTCGAGGGGCATTTGTGAAAGTATTAGCAGTAGATCCCAAAGAGCCCAAATAATCTAATTGCATTTTTATTTAAAAATATATTTATATATTTGTATAGGTACATTTTGAACAAAGATCAGAAGTTTATACATCAAACTCGGCAGTGATTTTCTCTATATGGTAACATGATGTATGATTTAGCTCCTTTTGTGCTCTATGATAAGTATCTATTATGCTCTTAAAGAGGAAAAAGGGTGCCATTAAAATAAAAGTAATTCAGCCAGCTGTGTAGCAATAAAGACTTCCTGAAATCTTATAGAATTTAGGAGAAAGGAAGGAAACACGGAAACTCACATAAAGCGAAATACTTCTCTTTAGTGATGACAAAATGCCTGGAGAAGCCAGGTAGCCTGCTTCTTACTGTACTGTCAGTAGCTGGGCTACCATAGACTCTGGGCCTCCAGGCTTTCAGGCCAAAGGGCTTTGAAGTGTTTCGTGCTGGCCGAGGAGGACCTGCCTCCCTTCCTTCCGGCTCTGCAAGGGTGACGACCGGAAAGACCACAGGAAGTGCAATGATTCCAAGGGTGGAGAAGGATGTAATAGCCTTTGCAGAGAGGACTTTGCAGCTCTCATTATTCTCTCTTTGGGAGTTAGTAGGTCATTTGCAAAAGGCATGGGAAGAGCAGCTGATGAAAGGTCTAATGGTTTGGAAAACTGCTTAACCTTATTGCTCTATTTCTGGATGTTCCCCCATGGCCAAGGACTGTTCAGATCCTGATTTCCCCGGGAGGTTTCCCTATTAGGAATGCAGTGAAACCTCTGAAATTCAGAGGAATAGGAGAGAAGACCAGCTGGAAATAAGGAACAGTCTGGATACTTTTTAAGGACATTCAGGTCTATTACTTTCAAGAATACAGGATCAAGATATGGAAGGAGCCTAGTCCAGGTTCCTCCTCAGTGCGGGAGTCTTTGTGCTTCCTCCTGACAGGGATTCTTTTAGATGCTTCCAAAGACAGACTGCTTACTATCCTGACAGATAACCTATTCCATTCTTAAAAAAGTCCTCCTTCACCTAAGCTGGCATTTGCCTTCCTGTAAGGTTATGCTTATCTTCTGGTAGTCACTAAGAACTGGCATCTCCTTTTCCCCCAGATGGTCCTCAAATATTTGATATCAGTTACTATGCACTGAACAGTTCTTCACAGCATTCTCTTTTGCAACCTGATCAGCCTCAGAATATTCAACCATTGTTTATATGACAAATAGCATCAGATCTAACTAGAAATATGAGGCCATCTTTGATTAGTCTATATATTCACAGCTACATAAATTTAAATCTGAGCAGAGGTTGGACATGACCTGTATTGGCCTCATTATTTTACAGATGAACATACTAAGATCCAATTTCAGAAAGAAAGAGAGATGGGGAGGGAGAAAGAGAGAAAGGGAGGGAGGGAGAGAGAGACAGAGACAGACAGAGAGACAGAGAGAAGGAAAGAAATAAGGAAAGAAAGAAAGAAAGAAAGAAGGAGATGGACAGACAGACAGGAAGAAGATTGCATTGATACCTGAACCCTAGTTGTATAACTTCCAATTTAGAGTTCCTTTCACCCTACCCCACATCCTATTATTCATAAACCACTAGCTTTTATCAAGTTCTTCAAAGTACTTGAAAAAGTTTGTTCTCTTAGGTATTTCAAAAATTCTCTCCTTCAAATTGTATTTGTGCTGTCAGTAAAGTAGGGATTAGTACAGAGCTGAATTTAGTAGAGGTTATACTGTCGATGAAAAGTATCCAAAGTGCATTAATCCTGCTTGCTCTCTGCTGTCAGAAAAGCGATTTCCTGGCCTTAGACTTCCAGCTCAAAGTGGACAGCACACGTACAGGGCCACCTAGGTCAAATTTTCCTAAGGTCCAGCCTCCCTTCAATTGCATTCAACTTCAGAACTGGGAGTGTGTCTGCCAGAATTCGGGGAAGGCTGTTTCAGTTTTACCCAGCTGTGTGTACTGTAGACTTTCATATCCTCTTTTCAACTTGGCCTGGTCCTCTGATAAAAAGATGAAGCAAAGACTCAGAGGAGCAAACTAGGCATTTCAGTGATTAGCTTCCTGTCCCAGTCCCCTGTCACCCTGCAGTCACATGCTTTGGAGGGAACATTCCTCCCTGCCCCAGACCACAGCCATCTCCCTTTTCTCTCAACAAGGTATTGCATTTCCAGTTCTACACTTGTGGCACACATGAGCAGCAGCCTCCCAGTCCTTCCTGCTCTGCATAATGCTAGCTGCACCCACCCTGGAATCACACAGACCTGTGTTCAAGTGTTGAGTGTGCAGCTAGCTGGCTGTGTGACTTTGGAAAGTTACTTAGCCTTTCCAACCAAGACGCAGTATGGGTATGTACCAATTCCCCAAGATAAATGTAATTATTCTATACTGCAGACACAGATAAAAAAGAAAAAATAATAATTAGCATAAAAGTAAAGTAAAATAAATACTACTTAAACTTTCCAAACCGCAGTTCCCTCATTTATCAGATGAAGACAATTATCCTACCCACATCGTAAGGTTGACATAGAACTGAAGATACCTAACATAGTCCCAACACACAGTTAGATTCCATATCAGGTGTCTGTTTAGTATTATTAATATTATGGTCCAGAAGGCAGAGGCTGAAACCTATACTTTTCTCATGCTGCACACAGCATGTGCCCTTGATTCTGGTCTAGGCTCTATTCAGCAGTAAGTTCCCCATGGAAAATATTCTAAGAACTGCGTGAGAAGGGCTCCTATGCCTAATCACCCCTTTTCCCAGATTCGATCCCCCAGTGACTAACTCGGCAGGCAGGCCCACCCTGTCCTGCCGCTCTTCACACCTGTCAGCTTGCATCTCAGAGTGGACTTCTCATTTGACAGACTCTGAGGACTTGTTGTCCAGGCAAAGAAAACTTTACAATGGATGATGAATACAACACAAACCTTATGTAACTAGCATGTCAGAAAACAGAGGGACAGAGGGAAACAGAGCTATGCAGAAGTAAAAAGTTTCTCAAGACCCTTAAAACTGATCAATGTTCTTATATTTAAAATATTCCAAAATTTTATGTGACTGTGGATGAACTCTTCTTTTTGGCAAAGGATCTGAATTAACATTCATAACTGATTTTTTTTATTGAAATTACATAAGATATTCATTTAGCTAATAGACTTTACATATAATACTGACTTTTTAATCAATAATATTTATTGTCTTTGGGACTTACAAATAATGACAAGTCTCCAATTTTTTTAAAAATTGAAGACTGTGGGAAATTTCTACCTAGAATGGTTTGAAATTCTTTCCATGTCATAAAGAGTTAAAAAGGGTCTCTCAGGGGCGGAGATTTAGCTCAGTGGTTCCGGTGCCTGCCTTGAAAGCGCAAGGTCAGAGTTCGATCCCCAGTACCAAAAAAAAGGGTCTCTCAATTTCCATAAAAGCAGAGGATATAGATTCTTGCTGAGTAAAACAAATAGTCACTATTGAAGATTATTTGTTCATTCTCTGAACTTTGTGTTAATGATCCAAAAGAAATAGAAATATCCCCCGAAATACATTTGCTATATTATAGCCCCTCCACAGTTGAGGATGAGGGCAAAAGAAATAGAAATATCCACTGAAATACACTTGCTATGTTACTGCCCCTCCACAGTCGAGGGTGAGGGCAGAATCCAGTAACAATGTGGTCCTGGTAGGCAGCAGGTCCCGGCCTGGGAGCTGGGTCCCCTCCTCTCAGTTCTACACAGCATCTGTGGTTACTTACCTGGGAGAGCTCATTCCCCTCACACCCTTCAGTCTCTTTAGGTGATGAGCTCTTCCAAATCCAAGATCCTGTGAGGCTCTGGGGAGTGCAAAGAAGCTGGCCAGCCATCTCTGCGGGTGAGCCCAGAGCAGCAGGAGGAGAATGTGACAGAAGGTATGAAAACCTTGAACAGATTGAGAAAGCACTGAATGACATTCACTTTCCAATTAGCTCTGGAGAGTTCCAAAAACAAGGGCCTATCCTTCTCCTGAGAGGTCAGTACCCACCCAAATGCCCCATCACTGAGCTGATGGGAAACAGGGAAGGGCAGTGCTTTTCTGGTTGGGGACCTTGGCTAGCATAGAAGGGAAGACAGAAATGGAGTCAGCTTCAAGAGAGAGTGAAATGGCAATGTACCCTGTGGGCTGATCCTTCCCAGTCTGGTGTTGCCAAGGAGGACGATCCACGCCATGAAACCTGGGCCAAGCTCTGGTTCAGACACACAGGCAAAAATAGAAAGGTGCTGCGAAAAGAAATGTGTTTACTTTTGTGATTTCCCTTCTGTGCCTCTTAACAGTATTCTAATCTCTTTGCAAACAGGCAGTGAGGACCTACAGCCTCGCCTGCGCTGATAAATCCTCCCAAACAACTCATATACAGACCTAAAATCTTCTTACTGCCATGATCTGGACAGCTGGAAAACAAGTTTAGAAGGCAGAATGATGGAGTACAAGGAGTGCTAGTCTAGCCTGTCACTAACTGGGTGAACTATGACAAATTCTTCTCTGAGACTCTCTAAAATACAGCACTTACATTAGCTTGAACATAAAACTTTGTTTAGAGCTTCAAAGTTTATATCAGTGGCTCTCTGCTAGGGACAATTGCATGCCTCAGGGGTATTTGGCAATATCTGAAGATATTTTTGGTTGTCATAACTTAGGGGTGCTTTTGGAATCTAATGGGTAGAGGCCAGAGGTGCTGCTAAGCATCTGACAATGCAACCCATGGGACTGGCTCCTACAACAAAGTGTTAACTGGTCCAAAATGCTAATAGTGCTGAGGATGAGAAAACCTGGTTTACACTGAAGGGGAGAGGAGAAAAGGGCCAGAACTGAAGAAGGGACAGTTAAAATCCTTTTTCTAGGTAATGAGGCCTTCACAAATAAAATGTTTGCTAGCTTTGTTTGCTCTTACCAGTGCCCTTTGATTTTCTCTAGGAATTATAGGGCTCTGTTTGGACAGCTTTTGCACAAGAACATCTTCCTCATCTGGAAAATGCCAAGTTCTGATGCAGTACAAAGGATTTTACCAAAGACACTGCAAAGGTATAATGTATATAATTATTAAACAAGTAGAACTGGTAGGTGGGTGGCAGGGGCACATAGAGGGACAAAACATATACCCAGAAGTCTGTTTGTATGAGTCAGGGTTTCTGAGGTAACAGGACAGAATAACAACTGTAGGATGAACCAAGCTATGCTGAGAGCAGGTGAGATGGATATGAGCACCAGTGTTGGAGAGATACAGATTCACAGCCATGAAAGGGTTAAACAATCAGTGTGTGTCATACTTGTGCCACTCCACACTAAGCCACTGGGCAGTGATTACAAATAGTTACCTGTGGCTTCCAGTGGGAGAAGCAAGGACACTCCAGTCAAGGGGTTTTGGAGAAACAGGTGCAATGAAGTCATGGTCAAACAATTTATTTACTGTAAACTTTAGACTTTGCTCAGGAAAACAACCGAAGCTGTCCCTCGTATCCCTGCCTACAGCAATAGGAGCGGGGGAAGAGTCCATGTTCACAGCTGAAAGGTCTGAGATACTCAGGATTCTCAAGTCCAAGGGTGCAGGAAGGAAAATCTCCTTCAGATACAAAATTACCAGCAGCAATACATTACCCCTAATACTTGACCAATGAGGTAGATACAGAAAAATCATCAAAACACACAGACTCAGGTCTTCTAGGATGAACATCCTTCAGACATAAACTTACAAGTTTAAGCAAAGGGGAACTGAACTGTACAAGAAACAAATAATAACTCAAATATGTTTTTTTATACAGCTTAAAAAAATAAAAAAAGGCAGAAGGATACCCTCCTCCTGCAACTCTCTATACAGTTTTATTCTAAATTTGTTACACTCAAGTTAAATAGTCTAGTGTTCTGTTGAGGGAAGGAAATCTTAGGAAGTAGAAAAACTGCACTAGAGCAGTGAGTCATTCGTACTACAATTCCTCCCTTGTGAATCAATGCTATCGCTAGGCACAGTACCTGGACAGGTCACAAAGTCTTCTGTGCCTGGGGGGTCCTCACACAGCAGTTCCCTTTCTTTCTCCTGCCCCTGGTGACACACACTCGGCTCCCCGGTGTAGTTCGTTTTGCCGTTGCTGTTGCTGGAGTAGCCATTCCCATAAGCCTTCAAAGAAGGCCTGCGCAGACACAGCAGCTCCTGGAAGGCAATCCTGAAATCTGGACTCCGGCAGTAGATGAGGGGATTAAAAGCAGAATTGACATAGCCCACCCAGTTTAGGAGGATGTAAACTTCCTTAGGGATGAGGTTGTCCCGAATGACATGCACAATGTTGACAATGAAGAAGGGCAGCCAGCAGAGGGTAAAAGTGCCCATGATGATGCCTAAGGTCTTGAGAGCTTTGTGTTCTTTCAAGTAGAACTTGGAAGACCTGCGAATTCCATGCCCACTCCTCCCATCCGGCTCCACCTGGCTGAGATTTTGAGTGTGGAATCGGCCCTCAGATCTGTCAATCTTTTGGAGCTGCCTTTTGGCCACTTGGAAGACCCTGGAGTAGACAAAGACCATGACCACCAGGGGTAAGTAGAAGGACACGATGGAGGAGGCAATGGCATAGGCTTGGTTCGTGAAGAAGTCACAGCAGGTCTCCTTGGCATAGCAGTTGATGGCTTCCTGGTGGGTGGCCCGGTACCAGTGCATCTGGATGGGCAAGAAGGACGTGAGTCCCGACACAACCCACACCATCAGGATGACCACCCGGGCCTTATTCTTGGTCAGCAGGCTCTGATACTTGAAAGGTGACGTAATGGCAAAGTATCGATCCACTGCGATCACGCACAAAGTCTCGATGCTGGCGGTGACGCACAACACATCAATGGAAGTCCAAAACTCGCACCAGAAGTTGCCAAAAGTCCACATTTTCATGAGGATGTGGCTGGCCCCAAATGGCACCACTGCGAGGCCCATGACTAGGTCGGCGCAGGCCAGTGAGGTGATGAAGTAGTTGGTGACCGTCTGCAGGCGCTCGAACTTGGCAATGGCCGTGATGACCAGCACGTTGCCAAACACAATGGCCAGGACGATGAGCGACATGACGATGGCCATGCCCACCACCCATGCCTCGTCCCGTTCCTGCGTGACGTTGCGGTCTGGCGCGTAGCTTGTGTTGGGCGCCAACAAGAAGTCGCTGCCGTTCCCAAGGTGCCCCATGGCGCGCAAGGGAGCAGGTGAGCACAGGGGCTGTCAGCAGAGCTGCCGCGCCTCAGCGGGCGCCCCTCCGGCGGGGCGCTGCGGGCCGCGGGTGGACGCCTAGAAGCCTCATTCAGCAGCCGTGGGGTGGCTGTGGATGGGCGCCTCCTGCATGCTCAGCTTGTGGGGTGTTCTGGGCTCGCGCTGCCTCCCGTTCCAGCTGGCGCCCTGAAGAAGCCGCCTTGGAGTGCGCTCTACCCGTTATGTGCACAGGACTTTAGAGGAACTGCCCTTCCGTGACGTGAGGTAACTTTCGGCCAATGGCGCTCCGGCAGCCCCGGAGGGGCGAGGCACCGCTCCCCTTCCCCGCCCCACCCTTGTCCGCCCCTCCAGGGGCTGGCCCGGGCGCGGCTGGCAGGCGGGCGGCCGCCACTCCCTACCGGCTGCCCTGGCTGGTCCTGGAGGGCTAAGGCTGGGGTTGCTGCTCTTAGGAGCCAGCCCAGGAGACTGGGCTCTTCCTTGACGCTACCTGCCCGCTCCGGGCACCCCTGTGGCTTGAGATCGCAGGGTAGAAGGCAGCTCAGGAGGACACTCATCCGCATTCGGGAGCAAAGATGAAGATACCACCGAGACGAGCGCACACAGGCACAAATGCACCCCGACAAACATGCTCAGACTTATTCCCAACCATAGCCACAGACGCGGAGACACACCCGCCCAATGCACCGACATGCACACTCAGGCGCGCACGCGCTCACACAGAAGCTGCACGGCAGTTACCCCAGTCCGACACAGGTTGAAACAGAAGCGTGAAGGCATGGACTCACTCCGAGATGAGTAAACGCACGCGCACCGCACCCCCCCCCCCCCACAGCGACACAGATACGGATGTCTCCTTTCAGGTACGCATCCCTAGCCCCCAAAACTCATGACACCCTCTGCCTCCACCCCTGACACCCACTGTATTCTCTCTCAAACATTTGGCAAGACTGCAGGAGGTAACTTCAACAGCTGCAGATTGCCTCAGCACACTCACCCTCAAGCGCTTTTGGTGCCCTCCTTGGGAATCTACAGACATTGAGACAGATAATTGAAACTTGTGCATGCATTTGAAGCTGAGGTATGCATGTAGGTATGTATTTGGGATGAGAGCGAAAATATGTTTTCTTTTTCTTAATTCTTGTTCATGTAACATCATTGGCTAGTTATCTTTTGGACCAGAGACATTGAAAATGCAATAATTTTTCCTTCAAACAACTTATTCAGTAGTTCCATTTTTTTTCTAAAAAAATTTTTTTAAACCCTTTTCACCAGCTGGGTAATTTGTTAATCTGTTATATTATGCCATATGAAATTGCCATTATTTGGCTATCTGACTTACAAAAATGGCAACTCTACAGTGCGTGTAATTAAAAATCTGTGAGCACAGAGAACATTTTGAAAGCACGGAAAGCAAAAGATAATTTTCTCCTTACAAAAAATCAGAAAACCAAGGTTTTTACCCATGAAATCCTATCCTCAAATCTGGCATATGACTTTACTGCTGAAAAAAATTAATCTTAAGGGTTTGATTTCACTTGTATTAGTGGTGTCTGAAACACTGAAAGCATTTCATGCAGTGTAACCAAACATACTTTGTAGATTACATAACAATGGCTTAAATTTATGGAACATTCTGCCATGTACTTTCCATGCATTATTGCATTTAATCCTCTGCACAGTCCCATGGAGTGTGAAGTAACTCTTTTTAGATTAAATGACAAATGAGACTTAAAGAAGTAGCAGCTTGCTCAGGGGCACTATCAAGCAGTGCCAGAAGCTGGATTTGAACCCAAATCCACCTGACTCTAGCCCTGGATTTTGAGCTTTTCAATGTACTGCATTACTACATGCAGAAAAGAGTGGAGCGCAGGGTACAAGCACTACAGCTGGGACTGGAACACCCAGGTTCCAGCTTTGCCTGACTTGGACCTTTCCCTTTCCCTAGGCAAATCAGGAAGATGGAGCCTAATTTCCCTCATCTATAAAGGAGGGAAGAAAGGCACTTCCATGGGGCAGGAAAATGAACTGCTATGATTAACAGGGGATGATGCTTTTGCCCATATAAATGTCACAGGGATGCAGGTTGCCAGTTTATATCAATTACTTAGTCTTTGAAATATATTGTTAGTTTTTTCTACAAGAACAATAAAATACTTTAGAACAAAGGTAAGTGGGATGTTTACTCCAGAAGTAAAACTCAGAAACAAAATTTAACCTACATGTCCTCTTTTAACTTTTTCAATACCACACACTACCTTTCTGTGCAACAGATGCCCCCTAAACAAATATTTTCCATAAAAGCCACAATTATCAATTAAGAGTTTATTATGCTCACAGTTTTCCAAAATATACCCACCTCATATTTGTATTTGCCAGAACTGGGCCTCCCTGTGATACATTTTAGGAAGAGGCAGTGTATATTATGCAATGGTATTTCTTTAAATATACATCTACCCTGAATTGTGGAACTAAACCATTTTAAACCTCCTTCCTGTTTGTGAAACTATAGAACACTGTAAATAAGCATTTTGTTTAATCTTCCCATACAAGAAAAACAATAAAAAAACCCTTCAAAGATAAACATTAGTCATTTATTTAGATACATATAAATAAGTCATGTAAAAGCTTAACTGAATATTTGGGTAAACACCTTTTCAAAAACCACAAGCACTAAATTAAGAAGGGGAAACTGCTTATGTCAACTAGGAAGTCCTCAGCCTTTGCCCACCCTCCTTGACAAAAGGACACTAATGTTCCCTCTCCTCCCTCCCCTGCCCACCCCTCCTGTCCTCTGTCCTCCTCTCCATCCCCAAGCTGGCAGGAATTTCAAGATTTACCTTTAAGTCTGTTCCCTGACCTTTTAGAATTCCAGAATCAGAAAATTAGAATGGGAAAAAGTTTAATAGATCATTTAATTTATTTCCTCCAGTTTGAAAAGAGGGATTTGAAGTGAACAACCAAGAAATGTCCAGTCCAAGGTGGTAGGAACTTTAGGAGTCTGGCTCTACCTCATGGCCTCACATGTTCTCACTACCAGCAATTGTTATTTCATCTCCAAGCAGGGGACTTTAACTTGAACTGCTTACTGAGCTCCTGGCCTTAGGGAGTTAATGCTTGAGTTGAACTAGGAAGTTCTTATGGACTAACTGCACCTTTATTTAATGGAAGAAAAAACAGGCTCTTTTATAGTGATGGATAATGTCTAATTACATATTTTGTCAATCCTTTAAGACACTGATTTGTCATTTCCTGCCCACCAAACAGGAATAAAAACCACAGTGTGATTTACCTAATGAATGTTTGAACAGGAGTGAGGTTCTGGGGTGCCAGAAAATGCCCTCACGCTGATAGCTGGAGGACTTAGGAAAACCTTATCTCACACCATCTTGGCTTAGACAAGCATCCTTCCATCTTTATGATTCTTGAACAGAGAAACATGTCGATTTCTTTTGTTTAAAATGTCTATCCTTAATAATATCTCTCTCTCTCATTAAAGTTACATGAAATGAGACTGAATGCATGTAAAGCGTGCTACCTTACAAGAGAGAAAATTGTTACTAATTATTTTAATGAAAATGTATATAGAGAAAGAATATTTGTCTTTTCACATCGTATGTGTGAAAGAATCCTTTGAACATGAATATTTTTTATTTAAATTGATGTGAAAATGAAAAGAAAAGGAACATAGTTTTATTCCTTAGAAGAATGATCCTGCAAATTCCCAAACACTGAGTTATACAGTTAGATGGGACGACAATGGTTTTTGGATGAAGCATTTCACAGTCAGTCACCTTCTCACACAGTGCATGCTTCAAAATTCTTGGAAAGCCATCTCTAGAGAGATGACTCTCACCAGCCTCTTTCCTAGTTCGAGCGGTTGTTTCCCTCCTTCCTAAAATGTTTGCCCTTAGATCTTAAGTCTGCCCCCTGGAGGCCACTCAGTGTAAGTCTCTTCTCTCCTTCAGATTGCCCTTGAGCTTTTGGGAGAATTCCTTAAAATTTCTCCTGAGCCTTCTCCTCTTCACACCAAGTATTCTTGGTTCTAGAGCCACCTTTACCATCAAGGCTGATCTTTTCTATTCAGGATTCGGTTTGTTGACATTTAAATTTAACATCAATACCTGGAAAGTTCCTAGAACATGTCATCAAATAATTGCATTGCAATCACCTTGGCAACCATAAAATAGAGCAGAGCAACCAGCAAAGCTTTCTGAACAGCTGATTATACCAGATGAATTTAATTTCCTGCTATGCTAGACTTTTATGAGAGACATCCTAATAAATTCTCTACATCTCAGGGGCACCGAACAAAGAGATGACATTAAATTAAAGCAGGGAAGACTTCAGTTGGCATAGAAAGGGCTCCTTGGCCAGAAGAGAATTAATCATTCAAAAAGGCAAAACTCTAGCAGCTTTTCTCAATTGAGAATTTGCAAGAGAATTACACCCTAAAAAAATTATTTGCGTGACTATTCTTGATTCTCCCAAGGATGGTACAAAACTATTACCCTCCGAGAGACAGAAGTGGAAAATTAAGTCATTACATACAGCATAATGGGTGCCCTAGGGCACAATGTTCAGTTTTCTTGAAAAACCAGAGAGGGACTACTTAGAGTCTTCTTCATATGAGAATAAGAGTGTGTGATGCACAAAAATCAATAGCTTTCCTCTACACCAATGACAGGCTCACTGAGAGAGAAATAGGGCAAATAATTCCTTTCACAATAGCAT